TTACACAGAGAACACTTTTCCAGGGCTGCGGTTGCCAGAACTGGATGCACTGAAAGTATAATAAAACCCTAAATGGAAAAAAAAAAAATATATATTTTTTAATTTACACTGTTATGAATCCATTTGGTAACATTTATTACAAGTGACTAAGCAAAGTATAACAATCTTTTCTGCAAATACCCAACGCATTCTCTATTGCAAATAAAATTTAATTCTGTACTTTTTGCAAAGGGAATGGAAGAATCATAATATTTCTTTCATGTGTTTTCTATGGCAAAAAAAGTTCCTCTTTTCTCTCCTTTCTATTGTAGGCAGAGTCTAACCCCCCAGAGGATGTAAAAGCAAAGATATTATCATGAATATGTTAAAAATTCCACCTCAGGACATGTTCCACTTCTAGAAAAGGAGCTATAATGAGAAGTGTTTCTTCAAATAAAAGAGAGTGTCATTTCATTTTAGAGGCCCTCAGAGTTTTTAACAGGTGTATGAACTGGGGAAGTGCTGAGGCATAAAGCATCCTAAACAGCTCTTCTGTGTGGGCTTGTAGGTATCTGTGAGTGTGGATGGGGAAACAGTCGCCAGAAAACAGCAGGTCCAAGAGAGGAAACGTGTGGGCTGAGGAGGGTGTGAAAGCCCCATATGCTGGTGGTCCTGCTGAATCTACAAGAGCTGAGAAACTCAGGATTCCCAGAGTTGCCTGATGGTATCCAAGACCATTCCTCATGCTGGCTGTGTGACTTAGGCTCCCTCCAAGAAGGTGGCAGCTGATTCAGGCAAAGGCCGTATTACACCTGATGTGAGTAGGGGACTCTGGAGGGGTTGCTCAAACAGCCACCCAGAAGCCATGGCACATCAGGATGATCCCCTGCTCCTGAGTAAAGTGCTGGGGCTGGTTCCTCCTTGCTCATGCCCCAGCCACAAAGTGATGGGAGTGTCACCCATGAAGGGGGGCTGTGGGCAGTGGGGTAAAAACTGAGCTGCCTGAATAGGTGCCTGTTATTAATAGTAATAGCTTGGATTCCATTAATGATAACAGTTTCATTGGTAAAAGTTATCCTACAACTCTTCATTGGGATCTGTCTCCCTGACTCAATCCCTAGTGAGGACAACAAAAGGGCAGTGTATACAGCTCTCATATGGATCCTGATAAATTCCTCCACCAGGGCCCATGTTCCTCCCTTGACACCAGGAAGGAGCCCCAGGATTACATACAAAATTGTTAGCAGAGCTAAGAACAAAAGCAGTTTAGAGGAGTTTTATTAACATGGCTCTTTTTTCTGCTGAAGATAGAGGAGTAGGTAGGGTGGAGAACTGAACTTTAAGATGACCAAAGCCTATATTTTAATTTTGGCACCAAATTTATGCCTTTGCATGAGGCTTTCACAGGCAGAGATCCAGTGCTGAGATCAAGCAAAAGAATAGGGGTTTACTGGTACTTAACAATATCCCACCAATGAATTGCACAAGAAAATGACAAGAGAAAGCCTCGGCTCCAGCAGACTTACAGAACAAACAGCCAAGACAGAGCAGTGCTGGCAGGGAAACCACAGCAGGAAGGGAAAAATTTGCTTAAGATCATGAACATGAGAGGTCCTTTGCAGGGCAAGTGCACTGACCACAGCTCCCAGGCCATACCCAATAAAATGTACTTCCCTTTCTCTGTAGCTTTATGACAAAAATAGGTTTACCAGCGTTTCTTTTTCATTTCTACCTTGTCTTCATCTGACTCCATTTAAAATAAAATCAAAGAAAAAAGGCAAAAAAAGAAAAAAGAAGGAGGAATTTGAGTATTTAAAAATAAGTTTTCTTTTAAAGTAGTCCTAGACACCAGAGGCTGGAGCCACCACTAGTTATGGACCATAACACAGCAGTTCAGGCACGGAAACAGAAGTATCAAAAGTATCCAAGTAAGAGCTAAAATATATCCAGCTTTGTCTCCCTGTCCTGGGGTGGGTTATACAAATTATAATTCCTATTTCTTCAAGGGAGAATAATGGTAGTGAAGAAAAGCATTCATGCACAGGACTTCTATTTATAATGAATGTGTTTTATTGGAAAGTTGTTTATTGCTCTGGGGTACACTGGAACAGCTTCTGTGATGGTTTTCTTGAAGGACGCTTTTGAGAACATATATCATTTATGATTCAACACCTGCAATTAAAATTGTTTATTCCCTCTTTTAAATTTAATTTATGTGTGTATATGGAAACTTAAATCACTCTTTTCTTGCTTAGGCAAAACGTAATGTGCATGAAAACATAAACAAAAATATGGCAGCAGCCTAAAACTACTGCACTGGGTAAAACACAAACAGTCAAAGTGTAAAAATGAAGAGGCGTGGTAGAAACTGTAGCAACCAGAGAAAATGGGTGGTAGGTTTATTTTGGGTAACAGTTCATGGCTCAGTTGGGTTAGGTGCTGAGCTGACTTAGCAAGAGGTTGCTTAAGCAATACTCTGATAAAAGCATGGTCTTATCTTTAAGGATATCCAGAACTTATACTCCAGAACTTGCTTAATGCTCTGGTTATTGCTGTCTGTGATGACTGCTAGAAAAAAAGAGACTCAAAATATTTAGCTGCTCTGGGGTATCTGCAGCTTTCATTCCCAGGCAGCATCCATGAGGGCAGTGATTTTCAAGGCATGTTCTCCCCATGGGTTGCAGTATTTCCCCTCTTCACACTGTGTCCCCCTTTCACTGGCATATATTTCATGCCCATTCATGGGCACCTCATTTCAAGCCCCCTGGGCTCCTCCAGAGCCTGTTCGGTAATTTGGTAACCATGACTCTCTTCAGCCTTGGCAAACTGAGCACTTGAAGCCAGGGGAAGAGCTCCTTGCCATATCTTAACCCCCGGCCAGCTCCAGCTGCTCCCAAACTGTGTTGGTCTCCTCCTCTAACCATGCTCTAAAGACCTTGCACTTGCCAGGACCTGCCTCTTCCTACCCTCACACAAATGCCAAAACATCTTGGCATTGGGTGCAGGGAGAAAAGGGAAGAGGGGGAAATGACAATCAAAGACCTGGCTGCTAACTCCCACCCTTCCCAAGGTAGGTGCTACCTGTCTCCAGAAAGAGATCTACTACTGCAAAGGGAGGCAGATCTGCAAAATGTGGCTTCTGCTATGTAGTTAAAGGACAGACTTCCTTGCACTTATTAGGAACAGAAGTAATTTTCTCCTGGTATTTATAACAAAGTAGGATGTACTACCACCTAGTCTTCCCTTGTCTAGCTCCTGTTTTCATGTGGGCTTGTGTTATCCTAAAATGATCCAGACATGATTTCTGAATGTCAGCCTGTTTGTCTGAGGAGTTTCAATTTCTCAACCAAGACAAGAACCTTGAAAACTGATATCCCAGAGGGAAATTGGCTGAAATGTTATAAACTACAGACTGTGCTAAAAGAAAGCCACCTACAGAGAAATATATCAGCACTGAACATATGCTTAAAATTGACTTTTAAAATAGATGTAACTGGGGATTAACTACTATCACTGCACTGGCAACTCAGTGCCAGCGCCTGCAGAGTGGGGATTTTAATTGACCCATTCATTCATGTCAAATCTTTGTAGCTTATGTGGAAAAAAATAAAGTTCTTCTGTGTGTCCCTAAATGACCCTGACAGCTGACTATGATTTGGTCAAAACACCTCTTCTTCTGAGTGCAACTTCCTCTGAAACTGAACAGTTTTAAAGCATCAGACCTCCTCTAACTTATTTCCATTGCCTTTTTAAAAGAGAAGCTTAAATATTGATGCTCTAGCTGAAGAGGATTTATGTTCAGTGTTTTATTACTTATTAGATTCTCCATTGATAAGTAAAACATTTATTACAGGCTGAACCTACTCAATCATCTACTCAGGACTTTGACACTCAGTGGAAAACATCCACGGAATCATTGATTATTCCTCTTGCCCAAGCAGTGCCTTTCTGAGGGAGACAATTGGTTCAGGTTTTGTGGCAGAAGAACTTTCATTTTAAGCAGGACTTGCACAGAAAAGTAAAGGAGTCTATAAGCTAAGGCTCCTGCAGGAGTCAATAGGGGTCTGATGATTTCAGCTCATAGGAAAAGAAAAAATATATATGTATTTGGAGGAAGTGCTGCTTGTGGTCGTTGATTTACCCTCACCAGTCATCAGGGCAGCTAATGAGCCCAGGTCTTGTAAGTGCACAAATTCTGCCAGTTCAGCTGTACATAGCAGGAATCACATTGGATGCAAATGAGAAACTGGCATAAGCCTTGTGTATCCCTCCAACTTGCCCATGCAGATACCACCAGTTACACCATAGGCTAAAACATGGCTGTAGAAAAGGGTTCATATTCAGCTGTGTTATATGTTTTACTTTCTGTTGTAATAAGGAAACCACCAGTTTGCTCACTGTAGAGATGGGGGTAGGTACCTCTGAATATACAAGTACTTCAGAATGTATGTATACGGCTTTACTACCCTCATCCAGAGGCAAGTGGAAAACTCCGTGTGATTCTATTACTTGTAATGCTAAATATTGCCCCCAAAGATGTGTGACTAAGTGAGACATTCATAGGCCTGCCAAGCTCTGAGATACAGCACTTAGCAGTAAAGTGATCAAATTGCCAGGATATCAGTCTGCACAGGTAGCATAACATCTCAATCCCAATGATTAGTGTCTTTCACAGCAAGAAGTACAATATTTGGTGCCTAATACATTCCTCTGCTCTTATTATGCTTGCCAACATCGATAGTGACTCACAGTAAAACAAAGGTAACGCCTGACATCTTTCATGAACTCCCACTCGTCAATTAGAGACCATAAAGCTTCAACTTTTCAATGTGGAAATCAGTAATGCTGAATGCTGGCTGGCATGGCTAATGCACAACCTGCAGCACACAATCAGCTCAGTGCTAATAAATTAGAAGGGCTCAGATATGGCCAATCATGCTCAGGAGGAGATTTATTCTAGAAAGCTGCTATTTTTGGAACAGCTGAACTATATAAAGACTTGACAAGGTACCTCTAAATGAGTCTCATTACTGCAATTCCCAAATGCCCATGGAAGGTGTTTGTGCAGGTTGACAGTGAGTAAGATGTATCAAAGCTGGCCATGATAAGTTGGGAAATCTCCCTGTCTGCGTAACTCTGCGCAACTCTGCACAGAGGCTGAGGTGGGGAAGCTGCTTTGCCATGTCGTGCCTTGGTGTACGCTGTCAGGGTGGTGTGTATGTCTCTCTGAGCAGGGCTGATGGAGGGCGGTTAAAGCACGCCAGCTGCCTTTCCAAAGAAGACCTTTCCAAGGGAGACCTGGCACAACAAGCCAGGTAGACCACAGGTGAGACATTTTCCTCATGTTCTCAGAAAGGAGAGGAAATATAAAGTGTGAGAAATCTGGGCTCAGGCGGACAAGAAGTACCTTAAACTTGCAAGACATGAGTCAAGAAACATCCGAAACATCCCTGTGATATTCAAGGCCTGGTTGGATAGAGCCTTGGGTGACATGGTTTAGTGTGAGGTGTCCCTGCCCATGGTAGGGGGGTTGGAATTGGTTGATCTTAAGGTCCTTTACAACCCTAACTATTCTATGATTCTAAGAGAAGTGGCAGAGAGTGGGGGGACAGCAGCAGAGTGCATGTTTTTGTAGCTGGGTGAAGAGCCTGGTTTAACTGCTGAACAACCAAGTGTTCAGGACACTAGCTGCACACAAGATGGAGATCTTCTGCCTCCAAAGGGAAACCACATGGGTGTCTGCTGCAGCTCAGGTGTCGGGATCCTAAGACCCATGACCAGCAAGCCTAGATATGCTCAGAAGCACTGACAGCATCTCAGAGCCAATCCAGCCCTTGGTGGTGGCTTCTGCTGTAGGCACAAGTCTGATGGAGCTGCCTTGCATGTACAGAGCCAGATCCTGCACGCTCACATGTCCTTGCTCTGCAACAACCGGAAACAGAGCAGAGGAGAGTTTCTACACCTGTGGCATGAATGAGAACATTACTCAAGCTCTTTAGCAGTGGCCTGGCAGATGCTGTGCCCATAGTGGTATGAGCTGTGCTGGCAGAGGGGCTGAGGCTGAAAGACAGCATCCATCTGTGTGAGGTCTCAAATAAAGAGTGCCTCTTCCTAGGAGGAGTTAGTCATGCTCAACTTTGTGCTCTCTCATTTGGTGGCTGTGTCTGAGATGAAATGCAAGTTTATACAGGAAACCATTGCCAAAATCTGGTTGTGCTGCTGATAGGCATTTGGGGTTTGCTTTTATCCCACCTATAGGCCTCTGTGCACAGCCCAGCACTGTGTCTTGCTCTTGGCCCCTGATATCATCATAAAGCCTTTAAAAAATGACTGCATTTCTGTGTGTCCTCCAAGAGCTGCTTTTGCCTTTCCCTGGAGGCTGAGCAGAGTGGGGCCTTGGCATAGTGCTGCTGGTGGAGAGCAAGCTGGCAGGGCACAGATCTCCTGTGAAGCCATGCTCCCTGTGTGTACTTGTGGAAAGACATGTTGATCCCTCAGCTGCGTGCAAACCTGTGCATGGCTGTTTTCCAGGACATCACCTAAAATCCGACATCTGGCTTGCAGGGATGTGGCACAGCAGATGCCACCTGGGCAAATGGAGCTGGAGCCATCTGTGAAGGCATGGAAAAGCAGCCGACAGCCTGCCACAGCCTTCAGGCCTCAGGAACACAGGGAACAGACAGGGATGTCCCTGCTGAGGTGAAACTGCTCCCTATCCTCATGGGAGTGAAATGTCACAGCTTGACCCTATGGGAGGAATTGCATGGAGCAGCATGGCTCTTTTCATGCAGCGCAACCGGGTGACATCAGTGTAATCCCCCGTGGAGATGGGGTCCCAATCCCTGCCCCTGACTCCAGCTCTGCCCCTCTGAGTTCAAAGTCTCATGCACACCAGTGTCATGTCTTCCCACCCTCTCCTCGCTCATTCCTTGCTGTCACTCTGCAGGGCAGCTTGAGTGCTGCCACAGAGAAACCAGCAGCTGTCCTGTGCCAGAGGTGTTTGTGTAACAACACACAAACACCTCTCACCAGCTGCACAGGGATGCGCTCATGTCTCTGCTCCCTCCTGCTGCAGCAGCTTCTTATGCAAATGAGATTTTTAGGATTGGTAAATCAAGATAAAACAGCAAGCAAGGCACAACGTCTGAGATATATCATCAGCACAGCCAAACGAGCAGGCACAGTAAACCCCTCCCTGCTGTTTGCCCAAAATACTTTGCTTGTGTCTCTGAATAGAATTCCTTGAGGATGCACTGCTGCACAATATACCCTCCACTGGAGCATCAACAGGTATTTCTTGGGCAAGAAGAAAGCCCACACCATCTTGTGATGCCTCCCACTAAAAATGAAGGAAGCTACTGCCACCTAAACCACTTCTTGTTCCATTAGATTCCTCTCTTCATGCAGCCCTCCAACTCTGGATGCGTTTCAATAGAAACCGAACCACTGTCCATGTATTCCAAGGAAAGCAGGGTGTGAGGCCATGAATAATGGAGCTGCTCTGTTTCCCCAGGATAACAGTTCATTTACAGTCTTTATCATGCTGCCTGTTAGCTTTCAATTGAATAAGGGAGACACCAATTTCATTGGAAGTGCAAAAAGAAAATATTCCATCCTGTCTTTTGTGCTAGATGCAGAAGAGTTTGGATTTTCTCGTGCCAAAGGTGACTGTGGAGCACCATCTCAGATGTCCATTTTCCCGTCTTCTCCGCATGAAGTCTGGCCCTTCGCTCTTTGCCCCAGCTTTTGTTAGTGCCCTTGCCAGCTTTTCAGCTCCTCCCCAGGCAGCTGCCAGCTGTCATTCTTCTTTACCCTACTTGTCCAAAAATCTGTATGACAAGCTCTATTTCTAAAGAAATATTTAAAAAGCAAGTCTTAATAGTACATTTTCATAGTACATTTTCATTTCACATACCCTTCGCCCAGCAGCAGATATAGCATAAAGACGTGCTCTGCAGAACAGCCACAAGACATGGGTGCTGTGCAGATATTTTTTAATGAATCCATGCAAAAGTCAGCTGGTTTCAAGTTTCACTGTAAAACTTATTAACTTAGGGTAAAACTCTGTTTGTTTGTGAGTTTTGAGAAGTTTGGCTTGTGCCTTTTGTTTGTTTGTTTGTAGGTACCTGACAAGGCTCAGCAATTTCACATGGTTTTAACATGAGATCAGGAAAACCTCTAAAGCCAATAGGTTCAGAGCAATCGCAGTTTGAGGTTTCGAAGCTATAAAAAACTCTGTCTACTGCCAAGTAGATTTCTGGAGGTGTGAAGTGTGCAAACTGAAACAAGAAATGTCTCTTGCAAGCTGGTGGTGGGCTGTGCTGTGGTGCTTTGCTGATTGCTTGTTCTCACTGCTGCCCACCAAGTGGGAGGAGAGGAGGGTCTGGTCTGGCACAGTAGTGCTGTGCTGGCAGGAGTGACAGTGCCAGCAAACTTCACAGCCATGGGCTACACTGGTGATCTTCTGTTCTATTTCAGGTAGCATCCTAGGGAAAAAACACACAGGGCACCCCCAGCATCTTGGTCTTGGACGTCATTTTGGAGCCACACAGGAACAGCAAGGGTGGCTGAGCAGGGGTGAAGGTCTAGGACAGGCTGGGATCTGCAGTTCCCTCCAGTGCTCCCATGTGGCTACATGTACCTTGAAACAAAGTGTGGTAGAGCTAGTATTGTTCCTCTGCATCTGCTTTTCCTTGTGCTGACACAAATCCTAGCATGCGAGTGGCACCTTGCTGACACTGGTGGGCTGTGTGAAGAGGACACAGCACCACTGTCCAAGGGCAGTGCTGCCCCATCCCTGCTGGGCTCCCCATACACCATGCCACACAGTGCTGGGGCACTGTGCACCAGAGGTATGGCTGATACAGAACTTCAGCTTTGAGAGTTCTGCTCAGCTGTAGACAGGGTCTTATTCTGGCTCACATCTTGCCTGTGACCTTAGGCCATATGGGCACAAGGGAAGGCTTCAGGTTGGAAGAGAAGCTGTGACACCTTCCAGGATGAGCAATGGCACTACTATTTCTTGCTATAAGATGAAAAACAGGATTGAAAACCTAATAGATCGAGGCTGTCTGCTCTTTCCTTTCCTTATTGCCTTTATCATCCCTGATGATGAGCCCTAATATCTCATAGCAAACCACAGGGTTATCCCCTACTTTGATTGCTCACAGTGCCTAACACAACTGGCTTGGCTCTGACTGCACTGTTAAGTTGCTACTTTAGCACATGTCCATATAGTAATAAAAAAACACCACTGACCATATTTAGACAGTGGCTGGGAATGTAATGTGAAATGTTGATTTCCCCTTATATAAAATAAATAATGTAAGACAATGTAACAGTAAAGTGTGACATAAAAAGCCATAACATATCAATCATGTATATGCATCTATATTCTATAATAACCTCTGCTTGCGCTGGGGTGCACTGGGAACAGAGCCACAGAGAAAAGAGGGTTTTTTTTTCTGCTCTGAATACCAGCCAAGTCCTTGGTACCTGCACTTTTTGTTCACTGCCACCTTCAAGTCTCTTAAAAACAGTGTCCTATGCAGTGAGAAGTTTTCTGAGGCACTACAGTTCTTCCCCAGGGCACAGGAAAAAGAGGTTTTATTGTGAGTGGTTTGCTGTTCTCTTTCCCCTTGGATTGCTACTGCTCAGATTCAGCACAATTTACTTGTGTTTCTAAGGCTTACTGGGCAAGGTGTGCCACAAAGCTCCTTTGTGTTTGTACTACAGTATGTGTGAAGATCAGCTGTGTTTAATTTAGGTGCATAACTTTGTCAGCCACTGTCATTTCCATTGTTTAACAGAATGTCTTGAAGGCAAAATGAATAATAAGGATAAATAAAGCTAGATGGTTTGAACAGGTCAACTAGAAGCACCTTAAAGCACCTAAGGTATAACACCATGCCAAAGTCTTCCCATGTTGACTCTCCTGTAGCAAAGCTGCAGCTGTGTGCCATGAGCACTGCATCACTTCCCCTTCAGCTGCTACTGGTTCTCCTCTTCCTTGCCAACAGCCTGCCCAACCAAAACAGAGGGATGCTGAAATGCTGAGCTCCCGTGAGGCACCAGCAGCAACTCCTCCTTACCCTTCAAGAACATACCTAGACTAGGAGGATTCCATAGTCACTTGTGTTTGTGCTTTAAGAAAGAAACTTTAGCCTGAAAATCTACCAGAGAGGGACTGCTACCAAGGTGGGAATGAAGAGGGAGGAGAAACATGTGACAGAGGAAAGAAATGGAAATATAAAGGCAAAATAAGCAGATGAATAAAAAACAAAGCAAAACAGATCAAAAAATTAGTCACTTTTATTTCATCTGTGTTCACTTCAGTCCAAGTGTAGGAGTTCTGGAAAGGTGATCGCTTGCATTTAAGTGGGTTGTAAACTACAACAATATAAAAAAAGCAGCATTAGACTCTCTTCTTTGTGAAGGCAGATGTGAAAGATTGGGCCTGCAGCCGGGATGCCTCTCCATTCAGTGGCTGATCCAAGCTGAAATGCGCCTGCAGGTGGGTGCACTAGGGAAAAGGGCTGACAATTTCCATGTGCATGAAATCTGGCTAAATACACTCTCCCTTTTTTCAGTCTGGGAGATTTCAAGCCCTCCCCCATGTAGCACCTTTGCTATGCAGCATCAGGAAGATGTTTATCTGTTATGGTTTCAGGACATATACAAATGATATGTTTGGCTCCAAGTTTCAAGCCTGAGCAGGACTGGAAGTGGTATGTGTCCTTGAAAAGCTCACTGTGAGGCAGAGAAGTCTGAGCTTTACCTTTGTTGATCACTAAGTAGCAGCCTAAGAGGAAGCTGGGCTGGGCTGGATTCCTCAAAGGTGAGTGACTTTCATGTTTTACATAATACAGTTCTCAAAAAAGTGCCCCTGGGGTTGGGCCAGTGCCACCGTCTGTGAAAAGCCCCTGGAAAACTTGCTGTGGTTCAGCAGGGGAACACCATACTGGTTATTGCCAGCATGCCTTCTGACGTGGAAGCAAGAGGGAGAACACTCTTGGCAAAGCTGTTGCTTGTTTCAGCTAAGAAACGGGGTAAACAAGGCTCTGAGTAATTGCAGCTCTGAAAAGGGATTTGAAATGAAAATACGAGGAGCTTCATCAAAAGAGAAATGAAGTTTATTTGCATGAGTAGAAATACATTCAGCTTTACCGAGACTAAGGTCTGGGCTCTGTGGCACGTTGTTTGAAGCTGTGTCAGAACAGATTAGTTGTTTCCGTATAGTAATCATAGCTAGCATTCTAATGGATTAAAAATACCTCTTTCACCTCCACAATGGAAATTTTCTTCTTGGATCAACCTGCCTTGCCCTGGAATAACTCAGCCCAGGACCCTTGCATTGGTCTGTCAGACATGCAGCACACCCTGCAAGAGCAAAACCTGCCCCTGCCTCCTACCTCCAAGAACGGTTAAATAGAAACAACATATTTTTTAAGAGGGAGGACTGAACCTCAGAGCAGCTCTTTGAATTATCTGCCAACTGAGATGTCAGCTCTCCAGACAGATTACTATAAATGAATGAGTGTGAGTAGGCAGTGTGATAGCTGGGGCAATTTCTGTGAGTGATGCTCACCAGGAATATAATGCTATTGAATGCAAAGTTGACAGGGCACTCACATACCTGTAGACCAAAGTTAAGGAAAATCAACTCAACCCCCAGTTAAGTCCTGACATTCTTCCCTTCAGAGTCAGCAATTATTTTTAATGGATACGTTTGATATATTAATATTGTAGATTTCTCAAAGTGAAAAATAAATGCAAACTTGAAATGGAAATTAGAGCCAGGCATAAGCTAATAATAAGCTAGTAATTCACTGTGATCCAGATTATTATCAGTAGTAATGCACTGGACTTCTTATTGTAAGGCATGGAACAAAATCCTTCCCCTCTTTTCCCAGTGAGGCTGCTGTAAGACCTGCAGAGGTGCACTGCTTGTAAGCCTTCCCATGTGCTCACAACATAGCTGGTGAGACCTTGGTTTTGCATCCCTTCCTGCTCATCCAAAAGCCTGGGCAGTGACAGCTGTGCTACAGCCAAAGGGCCTGTGGGCATCTGTACAGGGGTGTAAAGGTATTTAAATCAGCTTTTACTTGTGTGGAAAGGGTCGTGCTGGGCAACCAGAGGAGCTTAGGTGCTGGCACAGGCTGGTCAGGCTCCTTGGCCCAGCCTCACTGCTGGATGGTACAGGAGCACACTTCGTGTGGGACCTCTGCACCCAGCTTTCCTTCCTCCCATACTGCAAAGCTGCCTCTGGATCCGTCTGACTGAGGCAGAGGAAAGATAACGTCTGCACAAATAAAATGGATAAACATGTATTTTTATGTTGCATTCTGCTGCATTCACACTTCTGTCTTGCTCCCTCCCTCATGCTCTGTTTGGTATGATTTCTGTGTAGTTTACTGTTCTTCTCACACCAGCTTTTCAAACACATTTCAAACACTCCACAGTTTTATAACTCTGCAGAGGGTTATCTAGTGTAGCTGCTTGCCAGGATAGAGCAACAGCTTATGTTAAGTTTACTTTTCTGCAGTGGCTGGCCAGAGGGTTTTATACCAGATGCACGCAGACTTTG